AGTGCGCAGTTGTCGCCACTTTCGAGGGCTGCTTGGGGGGGCTCAATAGAATGCCATCTCACGCAGTGTTCCGTCCGTTGCCTCCCTCTCGTCATCACCCCCATTTCCCCTTCAAGCTTGGGACCACAGTCCGGAGTCGTTCTGTTGCTGTCCTGTGAAACGTGCAACGCGCGAGATTCCCATATGGCTTGCGCAACCAATACAAACCCTGTGATGTCATCAGCCAATATTGACCAGCTCCTCTTGTCACTTACTATAGTCGGGTTTGGTACGTCGCATGATGGCGCTTTCCTGTATTACGTAGGAAACAGTTTCGGCCCAATCAGAATACATATGCAGTTCGGCCCGCTAAGAATACATACATGACCGGACTAAGATCGCTTGCGCCACGTGTCTCCACATCGCGCTAATAGCGGGACTAGGCGAAACATGTCACCCAGGGGGAACGAATCAGAAACCTCTCGCCGCCCAGAGCCGCGCTCCTCCCCCCCCCGCGCAAGAGCGAGAGGACAGGATGGGCCCTCCCTCGCCGATTCCAGGGCTGCTGCGAGCGTGTGCTCGACCACCGACGCCCCCTCCGAAGCCCGTGGGCGCGTGGACATAAGCGCACCGAGGGCCGCCAGGGACTTCAGCATCGTCGGCAGAGGAGGAGGAGGAGGAGGAGGAGGAGGGGAGGCTGGCTATCTCACGTCCCATGGTCCTCCGGCGTTGCCAGAGGCGACCCCTGGCCCGAGAGGACCCAAGCCTTTCCAGCGAGGCTACAGTCAACCCGTATAAGAAGGACGCACGATAAGGATGCAAGGGCCTGGGAAGGCCATTTCGACGTTTTGCGAGCGGGGCGCGGCCAGCGAAGCCGGCCAAGGATGGGCTGAAGTTGGACGGATGCAAGGGTAACCTTGGAGCGTTGCTCATCCTTACTATGCGGGTTGACTGTTGGGTGGCCTCCAAAGAACCCCTCACCAGGCCCGAAAGGCCCCAGGAACTTCAAAATGGCGTGAAACACTTGGAGCAACGTGGGCCATGATCACCTTCGGCAACCTCTGGGGATTCGCCGACCCCCCCTTTGGGTCCCCTCGATGTGCGAGATGCGTGCCCCTCCCAAGATCTTCGGACGCAACTTCTGGGAGGCATTTGTCAGAAAGGCTGAATGCTAGTAAGCCGCAGGAGGCCCAGGACTAAGCGCGAATAAAACTGGTAAAACTTAACTAACGCTGGGTTCGGCCAACTTTGGCCCGCCACGCCTAAATACGAGTATGCCAGCGCCATGCCTGAATTGAACCTCCCCAAATTGAAGAGAACAATACCCGTGTTGGCAAGAAGGGGTTGGAAGGACGAAGGGCATGAGCAATAGCATCCAGATGCAGTGGACCATACCTTCGGCCGCCTACGAATAATGATATCCTCATTTCTCCCAACCCCATCCTCCCAACCCGTTAGTTGTGCTCCCGAAAGATGTGCATCCTACTAAACCGCTCCCGCAGGAGCACGATCCGGTTGCTTTGAAGGGGTGAGGGGTCCCAACGAAAAGGCCCCGCAGACTCCAAGGCGCGTGTCACTATTCTAGGAACGTCGTCGTCGTGGTCGTCTCGTCGACGTCGTCGTCGTCTTCGTGGTCGTCGTCGTCGTCGTCGTCGCCGTCGTCGTCGTTGCATGACGGCCCACACGACCTCTGGAACGGCCCAAATTCGGTCCAATAAGATCCCAAATAGCCTCAGAAGCACCCACGAGGCCCATAAGAGGCCCCCCACAGAGGCAACCGGGAGGCCCCGAAACCGCCCAACAAGGGCCCTTTGAGGAATGCGCTTTCCCAGATGCGCGCACGCCGCTAACACTCTGCTGCGACAACGCCCCCCCCGCCCCCCCGGGAAGAGAGGCATCCATGGCTCCGAAGGGGTCGTCGCTGGCGGCGCGGCGCATCGCGCAGCTCCCAAAGGTGCCCGAATGTGTTGGGCGCCGCTTCTGGGCGCTTGCGGTTGCGCTGGTCGCCCGTGCTGGCTCGTCCAACATAACACAAGGCGTAAGCGAATGAATCATCGGCAGGGCACCTCGGGCCCGCGTTTGGGCGCCAGACTGCGGATGTCACCGAGCCAAGTTGCTCGCGAAGGATGCCCAGGCGGCGAGGCGACAGTGGTAAGCCTACGTGGCGCATGCATGGGGCGATCCTGTGTCCCCATGGGCCGTGGACCTCGCGGGGGCAGGCTCGCCAGTGACACAGCTCACCACTTCGAAGATGGGGCCCCGCGGGGAGAAGACCCTGCCCGAGCCACGGAGGCTGGAACCTGGACTGGCCTGCCTCCAAAGATGCATGTCCACGGGAAGATGCATGGGTGAAACGAAAGAGTAAACATAACGAATTTGGACACGCAGTTGCGAAACGGGTCACGGTGCTCGTCCTCCTCCTCCTCCTCCTCCTCAGAATCATCATCAGCATCACCGACATAAACATACTTATCAACACCATCATCTGCATCATCTTCACCATCATCACCAGCAGCATCAGCATCAATATCAGCATCATCATCAGCAGCATCCGCATCAGCAACATCATCCTCACCATCATCAGCAACAGCAGTATCATCATCAGCATCATTACCGTCGACATCATAATTAGCATCATCATCATCATCATCATCATCATCATCATCATCATCTTCATCATCATCATCATCATCATCATCATCATCATCAGCAACAGCATCAGCATCAGCATCAGCATCAGCATCAGCAGCATTATCATCATCTCCAGAATGATCCTGATTATGATCCTCATCCTCATCATCATCATCATACTCATGATCAGCATGATCATCAGCATCATCATCATCACCATCATCAGCATCAGCATCATCATAATCCTCATCACAATCGTCACCATCGGCATCCTCATCAACATCAACCTCCTCATCATCACCAGCAGCATCGTTATCATCCCCATCATATCAGCATCTGCATCTTCATTCGCATCATCACCATCATCGTCATCACCATCACCATCACCATCACCATCACCATCACCAGCATCATCATCAGCATCATCATCAGCATCATCATCTGCATCATCATCACCGACATCACCCTAAGCACAACATCGAGATGCGTGCGCGCGGGAATGCATCATGGACGCCAGCGGCATTTGCAAGGGTGAAGGCGGGGAACTCGGGGGAGTTAGGCCTCTGTGGGCCCCCGGATCCGGCCCGAATCGGCGCGCTCCGAGCCCTCGAAACGCTGGCCACAACACCCCCCAATGTGGACATCGATCGAGGCTCTATCTCTATTCCGCTCCCATGCGCATGTTTGATATCTTGGTGGACTGCTGGTGCGGCTGGAAGCCTACATCCTGGATGAGGCAGGCCGCCATCACCTCGGCATCGGGACTTCCCAGACAGCCGTTGCTTTTTATTGCTGCAATGCCTCTCCCACTGCGCATCTGCCCCCACGCCTCGCAAACAGCGCGCACGCTGTCCAGCACCATCCCTCCCTGAGCGCGCTTGTTTGGCGCGGCGCAAGCGCACACCTCTCCGCGGAAATCGGGCGTGCGCTTCTGCAGATCGCTCGGCCTCACCCGCTACAAGGGAAGGCCCGCGAAGCAGCTTGCGGCTCCGGTGCATGCCCCTCACCAGTCAGCTAGCACCTCGAGGGGCAACGGCAAGAGCAGAGACGGTGCTGGAGTGCGCTGTCGGAAGATCAAATGTCTTGAACGCGTGTGCAAGAATGCCGACGAGACACCAACATGAAACGCCTGGATCTTGCGCCAGGAGTTGCTCGAACTACAAGCCCGCATGCACCCGACGACGTAATCCATCTTGCATTCTGGGGCACATTACTACCAGCTGACCTTCCGTACCAAGCAAGGCCTGCCCTTGTTTGGCAGTCACCCCAAGCCCTCATCCTCCGCTCTCCACCTCCTCCTCCCCCTCCTCCTTCTCCTCCTCCTTCTCATCCTACTCCTTTCTCTCGTCCTGCGCCCCGTTCATGCAGCGTTTCAATACATCCGGGTGGTGCAACAGTGAGGGTGTTGTTACGGGTGCCATTAGCATGCAATCACCCTCAGAATCTCCCCCTCATTCGTCATATCGGCCCATGGACAACCCGACGGCTCCTCGGTAGGGTATAGGGTGCCCGCTTGCATTGACCCCCGTAAGGTTGGCTCGTGCTCGTCCCGAAAATCCGTTCCGAACCCCACATCTCTCCCTTCCGCCTTCCTCCGTCCCTCCCTCCTCCCTCCCTCCCTCCCTCATCCCTCCGTCCCTCCCTCCCTCATCTCTCCCTCCCTTCATCTCTCCCTCCCTCCCTCATCCCTCCATCCCTCCCTCCGTCTGTCTGCTCCATGCCTCATCCCCCTCCCCCTTCCCACACCATATCCCTCCTTCCCCTCGTCTGACGGCCCACTTAGCACCGCGAGGGACCAGCCCCGCATCGACGCAAGGACCCCGCCCCAGTACCGATAGGGCCCGCCTTGGCAACGCACCTCCTCAAGCCTGCGGAAACAGGAACCCAGCAGACATCGCCACCGACGTCGTCATCCTCTCCCTCATCGTCCTCCTCGACCCCCGTTTATTCCTCCTGCTGCTGCTGCTCCTCCTCCTTCGCATTCTCCTCCTACCGTCTACCTTATCCTCCCCATCCCACTCCGCCTGCCACTTATGCCCCTTTCCTTATCCTTATCCTCCTCCTCCTCCTCCTCCTCCTCCCACTTGAGCTCTACCCCCACCTCCCTCTCCTCCTCCTCCTCCTCCTCCTCCTCCTCCTCCTCCTCCTCCTCCTCCTCCTCCTCCTCTTCCCCCTCCTCCCCTTCCCCCTCCCGCTCCGAGAATTGCGTTGTCCTAAAATGCGTGCGTGTGCGTTTGTTTGTGTGTGTGTGCTCTAATCCGATCGTTTCCGGTCCGTCAAAATGGAGCTCCCGCTGCAGCGCTGACCTCAATTCGGCACTTTGGCTCTTCAACATCGTGATCCCGATGCAACGCTGGTCTCATGTCCGCGTGTTCTGTGGTTCCGCATGGTGCTCCCGCTGCAGCGCTGATATATTTCCTCGTTTTCGGTCCTTCCGAATTCTGCTCCCGCTGCAGCTTTAGCCTCATGTCGGCGTTTTCGGTCCTTCTGAACGGTGATCCTGCTGCAGATTTAGCCTCACTGCAGCAACGGCCTCATTTCCAAAGTGTCGGCCCACCAACACTGCTAACGTAATAGGCCGCAACAGCTACGAAATGCCATGCCATGCAGTGGCATGCCATGCGAAACCATGTTATGCACCGCTATGCGATGCCGGACATTGCGTTGCAATGCTCTGATATGCAATGCAATGCGTGGCTAGGCAATGCTATGCCGTGCGATGCATCGCACACCCGTTGGGGATCGTTGCCCTCTCCAATGTCCCACCGTGCTACCAGAGAAGGCACGACGCCATGGTAAAGGATGGGAGGGAGGGGTGTGCCGTCAGATATGACGCGAGCGCGCTCGGCTAGCCCTCCCCCCCTTCCCCCTCCTCTTCTCGGTAATTCCCAGCGCCCTCCACCCTCTTCGGGAGCGGCCAAGAGGGGGGCGTCCAAGAGGGGGGGGTGCAAATCATGACCGGCGGCATGTGCGCGGCCCAGCGGGGGGTCCAGGGACGTAATGAAATGAGAAGAGGCGCCATGAAATCTGGGGAAATATCATGGCCCACGCCATGATATCCACCCCCCCAGACATCCCCCCCCCTCTTTTCCGCCCCCGACCTCTTCCTCCCCCGTGCCCCTCAGGAGCCCTGGCCGGGCGCCTCGGCGCCCTGAGACTCCGCGTCCAGGTACCGAAGCTCCTGCTGCGAGAGACAGAGGGAAGTGGGCAGGCAGACAGGCAGGCAGGCATGCAGACAGACAGACAGACAGACCAACCTTCGAACACCGAGGTGCGGCCGTATTCAGAGCGGGTGACGATGGCCGTAGCCCTGAGAGGCTCAGCATGAAGGGGGAGGAGAAGGAGGAGGTGGAGGAGGAAGAGGAGGAGGATGAGGAGGAGGAGGGGAAGGTAAAGGAGGAGGTGGAGGATGAACGAACGTCGCTGCGAGAAGCGACGTCCATAACCGTTCTGTCTTCTGTCATACCCCTACGCCCTGCGACTGCGTTTATCCTGGGACAGCGCAGCGCATGATCGGGGCCAAAGCCAATCTGGTGGCGAAGGACACCGTGCAGCTGATGCAAATCTGCAAGCCGAACTAGGAGTGAAACTCGAACGAGGAAGCTGTGCTGTCCGACGGTCATGGTGACGCATGGGACACCGATGCATACAGAGGGCCAACCAAGCCTGTCTACATGTGGCGGGTTCCGAAAACCCTGAACCAAAAAACCTTGCCATATCTTGAAAAGCTGTTATTACTTCCGCGAACTTCCGCCGGTCTTCCGCCAGCGGTGGTGCCCTCATTCCGCGTCCGCAAGCTTCCGCCGACCTTCCACCGCCTTCCGTCGGGGAAGGGGTTCCAACTCCTCCAGCCCTCGGAGGCAAGGCCCTTGTGGGAACGCCTCATGTGGTGTAGTCGCTGGAGGAGGACGAAGAGAACCAGCATGCGATGGTGTGGTGCGTGCTGCCGCCGCATCACACGCCACCTCTCCGACCTCGACTCTCAGCATGTCACGCCCTCACGCCACCCACGACACGTACTCGACGACCGCATGCCTGACGAAACCGTGTTGGGACGCAGCGCACGCCACTCGTCAAGGCACGTGATCCGATTTCGCAATGAGGCGCGCAATGCACCGTGATATTCATTTAGTATAATTCCGACACTCTGCGCTTGATAAAGATGAACATCGCGAACTGCAAAACGCATACTGGAACCACGCCTTCTCATATAGAATCACGTCTTCCCAGGACACATTCATATATATATATATATATATATATGTATATGTAGATAGATACATACATATGTATATATACACATATCGGAGGTGATGGGGTGAGATCGAAGTGGAACGGAGAGCCCCCCTACGGGGAAATCGATTTCGGTTTCGTGTTCGTGCGTGCCGTGCGTGCGGGCGAGGCGAAGCTGCGTGGGCGGGCGAGAGGAAAGTCTCCTGTGGCTGAGGCGCGGCCGGACCAAATGATTCTCCACCGGGCGGCCGGTGACCCGCGGTGTCCCGCCGGTGTCCCGGTGGTGTCCTCTGTGGCTGAGGCGCGGCCGGACCAAACGATTCTCCACCGGGCGGCCGGTGGCGCGCGGTGTCCCGCCGGCGTCCCGCCGGTGTCCCGTCGGTGTCCCGTCGGTGTCCCGATCATGATGTTGAAGATGATGAAGATGATTATTATGATGATGATGATGATGATGGTGATGATGATGATGGTAATGATGATGATGTTGATGATGGCGATTATGATGATGATGATGATGATGATGATGATGATGATGATGATGTTGATAATGATAATGTTGATGTTGATGTTGATGATGATGATGACGTCGATTGCGAGATCGATTGTGATATCGATAGTGAGATCAATTGCGATATCGATTGTGAGATCGATAGTGAGATCGATTGTGAGACCGAATGTGAGACCGAATGTGAGATCGATTGCGAGATCGATTGTGATATCGATAGTGAGATCGATTGCGAGATCGATTGTGAGATCGATAGTGAGATCGATAGTGAGAAGACCGAATGTGAGACCGAATGTGAGACCGAATGTGAGATCGATAGCGAGATCGATTGAGTGAGACGTTGGTTCCCCCTCCCCCCTCACCTCCTTATCACCCGCAGGGTGGTCGTATAGGTGTGTATATATATAAATGTGCGATCGCAATGGAACGAAAACACTCGATGCTGCAAGCGTGTGTAATTGCTTTTTGTTTCGGCGGCACTGTCGGAGACACTGGAACGACCTAAACATTTCCAGTGGAGGGCTGAGGCAGGAGTGGGTTGGAGCACGCCCCGAGTTGGGACTTCAACCGACGAAGCTTGGCAAACCGCCTCTGCCTGGACCCCCTCTTGAAACCCGTCTGGACGATGTCGGGTGCCCGCTAACGGGGGGAGGGAACAGGGATGAGGAAACGGTAAGGTCGGGCGTGTTCCCCTACAGGCGGATTTTGAATACAATTCTTAAAACCACAAAAAAATACTAAACAACGGCCAAAGAGACTCGGCAAATCGTATCCAGACTATTCTGGACTATTATGGAATAGTCCTCCTGTAGTAGAGGGACGTGCCCGGCTGCAGGAAACGTGCGCCTGTCCGTGCACCTTTTGGGTCCGAGGTGGCAGGTCAGCGGCCGCTCAGGGTCCTTCAGGGCCACTTTCCTGCATTCCTCGATCCTCCCACGTTTACTGCCCCCATCCTCCTCCTCCGCCTCCCCCCCATCCCCCTCATGCTCCCCCTCCTCCTCCTCCTGCTCTGCGGCGGCCACCTTCGACGGGAAGCACAGCGAGGCAGGCCCCGCGGGGGCCGTGCTCCGCAGTCTCCACCAGGCAGGGCGGCCTTCTCTCTCGGCGACTGCGCTCGGCCCTCCATCAGGCGTTGCCAAAGGTGCCCCTGGCCCAAGGTGCCCCCAGCTTTTCGCCCAATTCTGAAGCCCCTAGGGCCCTCTGGAACTCGCGAGGGGTGCCCTGGAGGCAGTGCGGGCCTCCCATGGAAATCCTGGGGGCACCTTGAGCCATGGGCACTTCTAGCAACGTCCGACCCCACCCGTTGCCATCAGCCTGATCTTGACAATGGCGGCTCGACCCACAACCATGTGTGCGTTTCTTGATCCTTGCGTGAAGATTTGAAGATGGCGGCTCGATGGCGGGCTTGGGGACGTCAACTGGCTCAACCAACAACCTCTGCCTGGACCCGCTGGATGGAGGCGGCTCCATGAGAGGAAGATAATGAGCTGCGTAAACATCAACTGTTCGAGGTCTGCCCGGATTTTGTGGATCCGTGCTGGGTGTCCCCCTACCAAGCGCGCGGAGCGCGCCTGGGGCGGCTCTGGAGGCGCGGCCCCAGCGCTGGTCCAATAAATCCGTGCGGAGCTCCAAAAGTTTCTGTTGATGCCGAGTCCAAGGTCGCCGCCGCGTCGACACGACACGAAAATACCGTAGGTCGGTCTTCGGGTCATGACTCGGGTCTCCAACGGCCGTTCGGGACGACCCAGGCACGCCTGGACGCCTCTCGGCGAGGCGCAGCTGCTGGAAGGCAGCACGAGGCTGCAAACCGCGGAGAACCAGCTAAAACCTCGAGCCTCGAACGCAAAGCCGCAGGAACGCTGATCCGCGCTAGGAGGAGGAGGAGGAGGAGGAGGAGGAGGAGGAGGAGGAGGAGAAGGAGGAGGAGGAGGAAGAGGAGGAAGAGGAGGAGAAGGAGGAGCAGGAGGAGGGGAACGAGGAGGGAGGAGCAACGGGGGGCGGACGGCGGAGGGAAGGGAAGGAGCGGGAGGAGGAGGAGGAGGGGAGAGAAAGGACGAAGGAGGACCGGCTACAAGCAAGAGTCGTTTTCTGTCGGCTGGGCGCAAGAGTGACCCCAGGCAAGAGTGACCTTTGGTGCGCGACCCAGGGGGGGGGGGCCGTCGGGGGACACAACCAGGCGGGCAAGCAGCTGCCATCGTGTCCCACTCAGCGGTCGGAGGGCCCCCTTGGGCCCGCAACAGAGGTCACTCCCGCGAAAGGTCACTCTTACGTGTAACTGAGAAGGAGAAAGCCTTCTCAGACGGCGGCGGGACTTCTCAGAAGTCCCCCGGGCCCTCTGAGAAGTTTTCTGCGCCTTCGGGGAAGGCGGAGAGCACTCCTCAGAAGCCCCGGGGACTCCCGAGCCTTTGGAGAAGGCCTTCTCCTTCTCACTTCCCCCCCTCGCTCGCCGCCAAAACACGCGGGTCCTTCCCGGTCTCGGGATCCACAACCACGAGAGCGGGGATGCCGCCGCGCCTGCCCGTGCCGAAGGTCGCCGCCTCGCGGCCGCCCCACACGCGGTAGCTGCGCTTCAGGGCGCCCTGGGCCTCCGAGCCGAAGGGCACCGCGAGCCAGTCCGGCCCCATGGTGGCGCGGTGGCGGTCGTAGTCCTCCCCCCCAGGCCCAAACCCCCTCGAGGCACACAAAAATCACCACGGCAAGTTGTTCGCTGTTCTCTGAAGGGGCCCTGGGACACACAAATGAATACACACTAATAGTAGGATTCCACATATCTTCCCATATTTTATTTGTTTTTGTCTTCCCCACCACTTCCCATATTTTCCCATATTTTCCTGGGAGTCGACGATTAATTGTGTCTGTGTGTTTCTTTCCCTTCTGATTCTCGGCCTCTGGGGGTCCGCGCCGGGCCTCGGGACCGGCAAACAGCGGCACAGGATGAGCAGCCGGTCTCGGGGAAGGGGCCGGGACCTCCGAGGGTCTGACTCTCTGGCGGCAGAAGTACGGTGCGGTCGGGAACGGTTGCACGGCGTGTCGCGGCAGCGGCCCCAGCGACGCGCGATGTCATGCGAGCGGGTGGCGTGTCGCTCCGCTCCGCGGGGCGGCAGGCAGGGAAGCACTCTGGACTGTGTAGTGGACAGGGGGAAGTGGATACAGTGTCGCGCCGAAGCATGGTGTGCCAGTACCGGCGAGGATCTCCAATCGTGGAGCGGCCATGCATATATCACCGCCACCCTGGTCAGATAAGGAATCCTCCAGGATCTGATACCTCATGAGCACATTCCTTAAGGACACCCCCCCACCGTTACAGCACCATTGACGTTTCAAGTCTCCCTGTCTTCGACACACCACAGGATGCATCGGCCAACGCGGGGGAGGGGCAGAAGGATGAGGATGAGGAGGAGGGCAGAGGGGCTGCGGAAAGGGTGGGGGGAGCTGCACGAGAGGGGTGCGGAGGGGGGGGCTGCAGGAAGGTCGCAGCCCGTTGACGCGGAGTAGGAGGATCGGATCTGGTCGGAAGGGTCCGCGAAAGAGCTCCACAGGGGAGCTGCTGCCGGGGTGTGCAGCAAGATCATTATCTTGCAGGCCAAGAGGGCCCGCTGACGGGCCATGAGGCAGGCCTCACGTTAGAGTTCGAAGTCTCGGCGCAAAAGGAACAACGAAACTCAGAACTAATTATGGAAGTCCTTCGAGCGAAACCCAATCCCGACGCGTGGCCCAGGCCACTCAGGACCGCCTGGCGTGACCCAGGCCCTGCGCCCTCGGGCGGGTCCTCCTCCCGGTGCCTCCCCTCGCTCATAGCCTCCAGCAGCCACGAGGCCGCCCCCAAGGACCCGCGGCTGGCCCCGCCAGCCGGCCCCGGGCAGGACGCGCGCCACCCGTGGACCGGCGGCCGCGGACGTCCCCGCACGCCATTGGCGCGCGGCCCTGCCCTGGTGGCTCCGCCACTGCCAAAAGCCCCGGTCGCGATCGGAGGACCCCTCCGGGCCAGTGCCCCCGCGCCGAAGCAGCGGGCCATCGCAGGCGGCCGTGGTCGCCGCCTCCGCTGCCCCCGGGGCCGAGCACCTGGCTCTGGTCTCCCAGGTGCCGGCCCTGCTGGGCGCTGCCTCCCCCGGCACCCACCACGTCATGCAGCGCGGCCCGGCACACGAGGGCCCTGCGACGTGCGCCGGTCGCGGGGCTCGCCGGGCGATCCTTGGGCCCTCAGGACTTTCCTGCTCCTTTGCTGAGTCAGTTCGTCCGATCCCTCCCACAGGACGGGCTCCTCGCCGCGGCCTCTGGCGCCTCGGACCCTGCCCCCGCCCCGTCAGGCACCGGATCTGGCGCGTCCCCCCTCCCGTGACATCTCTGGTCGTGGCAGGAGGGCGGGGGCGCCAAGCGCCACGGGCATCTCGCCCCTCCGTCCCTACCTCTGCTTCCGCCCTCGCCTTGTCTTCACCGACGTGCTGCCCTGGTCCTTCTCTCCGCCCATGCTACTGCCCCGCGGGTCCGTCACGCACCATGTCGGCTCCTCCTCCCCGCCGACCATGCCTGGTCAGCTATGTGCTGAGGGCCCCCCCTTGGCTCGCGCTGCGACCACCGCGTGAGGCGCTGCCGTGGCGGGCAACGCCTTTTCCCTCCTTGCCATCCTTGGGGCTCTCTTGGGCCGTCTTGGAGCCGTCTTGGCCGTATGGTGGGTATCTGGGGGCCGTCTTGGGCCGTCGAATGGGGTTCTGTTCTGGGTCCCACGGGAGGCCCTCTTGGGTGGTCTTGGGGCCGTCTTCGCCCCGGATGGCTATGGCTGCCGCTGCCTAGCATGGCGCCTGCTGCGATCCAAAGAGATCCCGCTTGAGGGCCAAGCCCCCGCGCGCGCCCGCCGGCTTTCGACTTGCTTCGCCTCGTCGCCGCGCGCGAGGCCGACACCGCCCAAAAGCGTGCGCGCGCGTGTGTGTGTGTGTGTGTGTGTGTGTGTGTGTGCGTGCGTGCGTGCGTGCGTGCGTGCGTGCGTGCGTGCGTGCGTGCGTGCGTGCGTGCGTGCGTGCGTGCGTGCGTGCGTGCGTGCGTGCGTGCGTGCGTGCGTGCGTGCGTGCGTGCGTGCGTGCGTGCGTGCGTGCGTGCGTGCGTGCGTGCGTGCGTGCGTGCGTGCGTGCGTGCGTGCGTGCGTGCGTGCGTGCGTGCGTGCGTGCGCGTGCGTGCGTGCGTGCGTGCGTGCGTGCGTGCGTGCGTGCGTGCGTTTGTGTGTGTGTGTGTGCGTGCGTGCGTGCGTGCGTGCGTGCGTGTGTGTGTGTGTGTGTGTGTGTGTGTGTGTGTGTGTGTGTGTGTGTGTGTGTGCGTGCGTGCGCGTGTGCGTTTGTGTGCGTGCGCGTGTGTGCGTGCGCGTGCGTGCGTGTGTGCGTGCAGGTGTGCGTGCGTGCGGACGTGCGTGCGTGCGTGTGCGTCGGCCGCGCGCTCGGTGTGTGAATGTGTCCCGGCCGCGCGCTCGCTCCCCTTGACTGTCTATCTCGCGCCGCCGCGCGGGTGGCCGCAACGGAAGAAACATGTGTGTGTGTGTGTGTTTGTGTATGCTTGAGCGTGTGCGTGTGTCAGCGTGCGTGTGTTAGTGAGCGTGTGCATGTGCATGTGTGTACGTGTGTGTGTGTGTGTGTGTCAGTGTGCGTATGCGCGTGTGAGTGTGTGTGTGTGTGTGTCTGTGTGTATGTGTCTGTGTTTGTGTGTATGTGTGTGTGTGTCGGTGTGTGTCCTGCCCCGGCGAGCTGCTCTTCGACCTGTCCTCCTCTCTGTCGCGGCTGCGCTATCCGATATCCGCCCTCCGCTGTTCCGCCCCGCCCTGTCGCCCCTTCGGCGCCTGTTGCATGCCGCCGTCAGTCGCCTGTTACCTCCTCCTCCTCATCATCATCATCCTCCCTCCTCCTCCTCCCTCCTCCCTCCTCCCTCCTCCCGTTCCTCCTCCTCCTCCTCCTCCTCCTCCTCCTCCTCCTCCTTCTCTTCCTCTTTCTCCTCCTCCTCCTCCTCCTCCTCCTCCTCCTCTTCCTCCACCTCCTCCTCCTCCTCTCCTCCTCCTCCTCCTCGCGTGCAGGACGTCCGCGCCAAAGAGCTGGAGGAAGGGTGCCGCGACCAAGCCGCAGAGCAGGGCAGGTGGCGCGCCTCTGCGCGCCTCGGCCGGGGGAGCCAGAGCCCCGCATGGGCAGCTGCCTGCCCGATGCCCGCCGCCCGTCTCGGCGTGCCGCGGCACTTTTGCGCCGCGCCCTTGGGGGGACTTTTGTTTTTGTTTTTTTGCGCTTTTGGCGCTGCGCTTCTGCACTTTGGCGCTTCTCTCGGGCCGGGCGACAGGGGGGGGATAGCAAAGGGGGGGGGTGAGAATCGGCTCACGTAGCTGATTTTCCCAGCGCCTCCCGGCGCCGGGAGGCGCCCAGGTATGGAGGAATGAGCCCGGCGGCGGGGCGGAAACCAGCTGCATGCAGCAGATTTCGTAACCCCCCCTTTCCCTATCCGAATCCCCCCCTTTCGTTCGGCCCGATACTTCGGGGGCGCGCAAACATGGATTAGCGATCCATGGATTTGGCGCGCGGTCGCCAAATCCATGGATCGGGGTAGGTGCCCTCCCCAGAATGTGGCCGGGGACGCCTCGTTCGGCGGCGGAAATTCGCGACTTCCCATGGAAGCGGGACCCGTCGCTAATCCACGCCCCCTTGATCCGTGTTTGCGATCGCCTGATTCTTGCGCTGCACACTTACACTTGCCGCCACTCTCCCCCTCTCCCCCCCTCTGCCCTCCCCCCTCTCGGCCCACCGCGAGTGACCCAGTCGATCCCCTTATGGGCGGAGCCCTGGTCCCCACGCCGCGTAATCTGGCCCGGCCCGTGCGCGTTCCCCAGACTGCCCACGCCGCGCCGCCGCGCGTGTGGCCGCAACGCCAAAAAGTGTGTGAGCGTGCATGCGTGCGTGCGTGCGTGCGTGCGTGCGTGCGCGCGTGCGCGCGTGCGCGCGTGCGTGCGTGCGTGCGTGCGTGCGTGCGTGCGTGCGTGCGTGCGTGCGTGCGTGCGTGCGTGCGTGCGTGCGTGCGTGCGTGCGTGCGTGCGTGCGTGCGTGCGTGCGTGCGTGCGTGCGTGCGTGCGTGCGTGCGTGCGTGCGTGCGTGCGTGCGTGCGTGCGTGCGTGCGTGCGTGCGTGTGTGTGTGTGTGTGTGTGCGTGCGTGTGTGTGTGTGTGCGTGTGTGCGTGCGCGTGTCCCCCTCCACCCACGCCCAGATGGCAGGTGGTGCTGCTGCTTTCTGTGTCCGGCACGCGCGGCGCCCCAGCCGCTGCACTCGGCTTTCTTCACCTCGTCGCTGCGCGCGAGGCCGCGACTGCCCAAACAAAAAGTGTGTGTATGTGTGTGTGTGTGTGTTCCCGCCTGAGGTCCCGGCCGCGCGCGCCCACTCCCGCTTCTCTTCGACTTACTCCGTCTCGTCGTAGGAGCGCTCGCGCCTTCTGGGAAGTCTTCTGTGCCTTCGAGGAAGGCTTCGAACATGTGTCAGAGGGCCCCGGGACTTCCGAGCCTTCTGAGAAGGCCTTCTCCTTCTCACTTCCCCCCTTCGCTTGCCGCCGACATTGTGGAGTCTGGGTGGTGCCCATGCGGCTGGGGGCACCTCTTCGACCTCTTCTGGTTTCCAGCGGTGTTGGGGGCAAGGAGGGACAGCAACACCGTGGCACAATATGTCAACTGCTCCTCCGTCCCTCCTCCTGCTCATGACCCTACTCGACACTGGCCTCTCTCGGACAAGCGATGGCAGTCCTCGCCGCTGAAGTCCGAACTCACGAAGACAATGCTCTTGTCTTTGGCTGGAGCCGACTCCATGAAGGCTCTCAGCTTCGGCGTGAACCGGGTGCACATCGGGCACCAAGCACCTCTACACTGACCTCTGTCTCGCTCCCTCTCCTTCTCTCTTCTTCTCGCCCCAGTGCCTGATGCCTACCCCTATCCAGGTCTTTCTTGATATCCTTATACCTCTCTTGACCTCCCTCTGCCCCTCCCTCCCTCCCTCGCTCCCCATCTGAAGATCCCTCTGCCCCTCGGGCTCGCCCTCTCTACCCCGCTCCCTCTCGATCTCCTTCTCGACCTCCCTCTCCCTCTCCGGCTCTCCCTGCTTCTCTCCCTCTGCCTCTCTCCATCCTGATTCCCATCTCTCTCTGTCTCTCTCTCTCTCTCTCTGTCCCCATCTCTTTCCTCCTCCCCTTGTGCCTTGTTTTTAGTGCTATGTTGCTCACTCTCTCTCTCTCTCTCTCTTCATTGTCTTTATCTCAGTCTCTGCCAACTGATTCGCATTATCATCATCGTCCGTCGGAGCCCTCACCAATTATTCCTCGAAAGCTCCCCTTCCTCGGAACACACAACGTCAACGAACGCTGAAGGTAAACGTCTGATTGGGTATCAGGCGAACTGCCCAAACACGTTCATATTGAGAGGAGGGGGGACACTGAGCAAGGGATTCGACCGAGCAGCGAGAGTGGAATGTGCGGTTGACCAGCAGAATGCACAACAGGCACATCATGAATAGATGCAGTCGCCGACAGCATCAGTCGTCACGACTCGAGTACTGGGTTCCCGAACCACGAGGCTGCGCAAGCTACGACACCACGGCCTGCAACAGCCAAACGAGACACAACCAACGCTGCTGAGCACGCGAGCCCAGCCAATTTCCTCCCTGTAGCCTCAGGGCGCCCCGGCGCCTGCAAAATATAGAGCCACCGAGCTCCCACGAAGCGCAGAGGCGTCCACGCCGCGGCCAGCTGCATCCACCAGCGGACCTGCCGACAGGAGGCGGCCCGCCAGCACAGACCCAAGTCCCGAGACTCTCGGGCGGGTGGTCCTGGAGGGGTGGCCCACACGGGGGGGGGGGCTGAAGCGAAGGGCCCCGCAGGGGCCCTGTGGGGCCCCTTTGGGAGCCAGTGTGGGCCCCAAGAGGGGCCCCAGAGGGCCCCTCTTTGGGCCCTTCGTTCACCCCCCATCTGGGCCACCCACCCGTACCACGCGCCCGGGACCCATCATGCCTGCAACCGCCCCGGCGTCCGGCACCGCACTGCGCCACAGCTGGTGTGTGTGTGTGTGTGTGTGTGTGTGTGTGTGTGTGTGTGTGTGTGTGTGTGTGTGTGTGTGTGTGTGTGTGTGTGTGTGTGGGGGGGGGGGGGGGGGGGGGGGGAGGGCGGCTGGGGCTCGCCGTCGGCTTCGCGCACACGGCGTGTCCCTCTGCGTGCGGATGTGAGGATTACCGTGTGTCGCTGCAGGGCGGTCGCTCGGCTGAGAGAAGGGGCACGCACAGGAAGGAAGGAAGAAAGGAAGGAAGGGGAAGGCAATGGAAGGAAAGAAGGAAGAAAAGAGAAAGAGGGACGACAGACAGATCACTGAGAGGCAGCGTCTACGCTGTGTGCGCGCAACGCTGTGGACGGTTCCACCGCGAGGAGCGAACGTGGAGTGAAGCGCAAAATAAACGCTCGAGCAAGAGAATGGCGAGGGGCTTGCACAACATCGCTCGATCTGTTTGACGTCTCGACCGTCGTCATCGTCATCGCCATCGTCTTTGTCGCCGTCGTCGGCTGCGTTGCCGCTGTCGCCGTCGCCCTCGCCGCCGCCGCCGCTGTCGCACACGACCACCCGCGCGAAACCACATCGTCGACCACGCACGTACCCGTGCCTGTAGCATGCCAACGTGGAACGGAACGAAGTGAAGTGGCTAATTACGGAAACGATGTCGAAAGGGCAAATTTATCTGCACATTTCTGCGGCGAACATATCCGCATCCGCGCCATTGCGATCTGGATTCGAGGGCGCGAATCTCAGGATGCGCGGTCGCACGGACACGTGCCGCGCGGGGCATCCGCGAAGAAACGCGGCTACGGCACGTCTTCGGCCCACGAGGAAAATAGAGGTCGAACTGCCCCCGATCCGGCAACGAGCTGTGAAACAGAGGGGCAGCAGCTGGAACCCAGTGGATCGGCTTACCCCTGCCTGCTGCGGCGGAGGGACGACGGAACACGCAGAGGAGGAGAAGGAGGAAGTTGAAGCAGCAGACTGCAGAGGAGGAGCCAAATGCGAGGAGGGGTGTAACAGAAAAGTGCAACTACTTCCTCGCACAGGAGCTCGCAGCTGGAACCGGCTGGAGCGGTGTGCGACACCCTAATTCCGAATTCCCACGGCCAACGCAACACCACCCCGCATGATCGGGACTTTGGCACGCAACGTGGGAGGTCCTGCTGGCGCGCGCTACGCAGGATGGTCCAGGGAAGGCAGCAAACATCTCTCAGAGAAGAGCTGCCCGCCCGTTGCCGGGTCGGCAGCAGCTGCCTCCCGGCACGACCGCAGGCGGGCCACTCCCGGGCGCGGCAACCTGCCGAAGGCCGCCGTGCGCAGACCCGGGTGAAACCAGGGAGGGACGACGGGGGGAGGAGGAGGGGGCGACCGAGGAGGAGGAGGAGCAGCAGGAGGAGGAGGAAGAGGAGGAGGAGGAGGAGGAGGAGGAGGAGGAGGAGGAGGAGGAGGAGGAGGAGGAGGAGGAGGAGGAGGAGGAGGAGGAGGGAGAGGAGGAGGGGGAGGAGGAGGAGGAGGAGGAGGAGAAGGGAGGAGGGGGAGGGGGAGGAGGAGGAGGAGGAGGGAGGAGGAGGAGGAGGAGGAGGAGGAGCAGGAGGAGATCTTTTGCGTCGCCCCGCACCAGCGGAGCAAGGTGATGAAGGTGGAGCCTGACCGAAGACGGGCCGCCCGTGCGGCCCCCATGCGCAACCCTGCCCCGGACCATGATCGGAAGCTGGGCGAGGGCTGCAGAAACCGTGTAGGGGGCCACATGCGAACCCTACCCCTACCCCCCACGATTTGTGAGGGGGAGGGTGGGGTTCACTTCGTTGGGGAGCTCTCGAGCGAAGTGAACCCCACCCTCCCCCTCAGAAATCTTGGGGGGTAGGGGTAGGGTTCACATGTGGCCCCCTACGTGGCTGCTAAAACGGCCCTCCCGGAAGGAAAAAACATCTTCCCGGCATGAGGCGCGGCACGCGAAACAGTCAACGGGCTTTTGCCCGGAAGGACGAAGACAACTTCCCGGAGGTCGGTTCTAGCAGCCATGGATTTAGCAGCCCTTGCCCGGCTTCCGACATGATGTGGCCATAGCTCGGCTCTCGGACGCCCGTTCGGGACGATCCGGGCTCCCCCAGAGCGCTCTCAGCGAGGCATAGCCGCCGGAGAGCACTCCGAGGCTGGGAAACCGCCGAGGACCTCCGAAGGCGCCCGACAACCTGGAACCTCGAACCCCTTCTTGCCTTCGAAGTCCATTCCCCCCAGAGGCGTGGAGGGATGGGCCCGGGGAGATTCACCGCACAAGCTCAGGACCTCTCCCGCGCACTCCTCGAGGCCTCCTGAATCGGGTCCGAGTAGATGGGGTCGGAGGATCGCGCCGCGTCGCCGATACATCGGCGGTGTATCGGCGATGCGCCAACGAGGCATCGTCAACGTCGGCGATGTATCGGCGACGCCGACGTGCAGCAAATCGGGCTCCACATCAAGCCGCGTCGCCGATGCATCGGCGATGCGGCGCGATTTTCCGACCCCATCTTCTCCGACCCCATCTGGGAGGCCTAGAGCGGAGGGGTGGACGCTGGGTGATTAACTGCAGAGCGCTGGATCTTCCCCGCGCAAGAGAGACTGAGAGAGAGGGAGCTATGCATAGAGGTAGACGTAGATGTATATGTATATATATATACGTATATATGTATAAGAGAGAGAGAGAGAGAAAAAAAAAAACAAAAAAAACATAACAAACAAACACAACTACGAAACCTACAGGAAGAGGGCTACTCCAGTAGACAAAAAAAACGGTTCTAGCGAACGGGTAAAACAAAAACACGAACCTCGAGGCCCGTCGTGCCCTCGGGAGGGATGGGCTCTGGGCGATTGGCCGCGGGGCGCCGGTCGTCTGGGCCTTTGGAAGACGAGGAGGAGGAGGAAGAGGAGGAGGCGGAAGAGGAGAAGGAGGAGGAGGAGGAGGGAGGACAAGGAGGAGGAGGAGGACGAGGAGGAGGGAGGACAAGGAGGAGGAGGAGGAGGAGAAGGAGGAGGGGAGAAGGGAGGACAAGGAGGAGAAGGACGAGGACGAGGAGGAGGAGGAGGAGGAGGAGGAGGCGGAGAAAAAGGAGGAGGAGGAGGGGGAGGAGGAGGAGGAGGAGGAGGAGGAAGAGGAGGAGGAGGAGGAGGAGCCGGAGCCAGAGGAGGAGGAGTCGGAGCCGGAGCCGGAGGAGGAAGAGGAGGAGGAGGCTCACAGGCTCTGGATCCTCCGCTCGCGTTCCACGCTCTGCGCGCGGCAGGGCGGCTCCGCCGGCGGCTCCGGCTCCACGCTCCACGCTCCACGCTCTGCGCGCGGCAGGGGCGGCCCGCCGTCGGCCACCTCTGGCCCGGCCGATGCCGCGCGCAGCGGCCCGTCGTCGCTCTTGCCGCCGGCATCGGGCACGAGTCTCCTCTCGCACGAGCGGCGAGCGAGTTCCCCCGACCCCCTCGCGCCGTGACCAAAATCGCGGCGGGAGGTTATGTTCGCTGTTTTGCCCTCCCGGGGCCCTCACCGGGCCCCGGGACCGTAAGCGAATGACTCGGGAAGACAAAGGGGTCAGGGGGAAGGGATCCAGACCTCTGGGGGCTGGCGCTGTGAAACCATCATTTACATTGACGCCTCTTAAAGTTAGCCAGCTTTGTTTAAGAGCACGGGGGGACCTTGAAAGTGGGGGCAGGCGGAACTGGAGCGACAACCCTACTGAAAACAAACGACTGCCAAGCAAGCACGAATATCCAACACAGCAGCCGAAGACACGAGAGCAAGTGCCGCCAGCGAGCCTAGAGGGGGAGATCCCCCCGAAAGATGTTCAAGAGGCGAGCCCGAGCCACCTTGGGCCCAAGTCCAGAGCGGTGCCTGACCTGGCCTCGGGCCTATCAGGGCCCGCGATAAAACTCGGAAACGCATCAGTCCCAGGGATTTAGCCCCAGGGTGGGAGCGGTGGGGCCGAAACTGCAGCCAAACAATGGTAATGACATGCAACGAAGGGATGCAGTGTAGGCGGCTAGATACATTGACGATGCTACTGTAAAAGTGTGTTTGTAAAACGCGTATTTACATTGACGCCTCTTAAAGTTAGCCAGCTTTGTTTAAGAGCACGGGGGGACCTTGAAAGTGGGGGCAGGCGGAACTGGAGCGACAACCCTACTGAAAACAAACGACTGCCATGCAAGCACGAATATCCAACACAGCAGCCGAAGACACGAGAGCAAGTGCCGCCAGCGAGCCTAGAGGGGGAGATCCCCCCGAAAGATGTTCAAGAGGCGAGCCCGAGCCACCTTGGGCCCAAGTCCAGAGCGGTGCCTGACCTGGCCTCGGGCCTATCAGGGCCCGCGATAAAACTCGGAAACGCATCAGTCCCAACCCCATCAAATCGAGACTGGCATACATGCCTAAACACCAGCCTTCAGCAGATAAGGGAGGGAGGGTAGGGTTCTTATCTATGTTGTGCTCCAGCCCCCCTGTTTTATGTAAAACCCCCGGTCCCATCTTTGCTCTTTATTCTGTTCAGGAATACAGGGGAGGACAGGGGACACTCGACACGCCTCCAGGCACGCTCCAGCTATGCTAAAAGATAATGATAATTATCACTAGCCACGAGCAGTTCTCGTCTTGCGGCTGTGACGGGCTCGGGCTGCTGTACTCGGGCGGCCCGTCGTCAGCACCCGCCCGCCGTCAAAACAGGGGATCTCTACCTGTGTCCCCTGCACCCCCGCCAGCTCCTCCAGCAGCTGCCTTGCCAGGGGAGTCTGAGCGGCGGGGGACTGCCTGATGAAAGTCATCAGGGCCTCAGACGGGCTGGCCCAAAAACTGGAGCCTGCCTTCACCTGCTCATCTGACATCTTTGCGAGCTGGCTGACAAGCATATGCGTCTTCGTGTAGCGCGCCAGGGCCGACGTTGTCTGCCACCTGCCCTTGCGCCTAGCGGCCTCCAGGCAGCCGCCGCCCGCCACGAAAGTGGCCGCCCCAGAGTGCCGAATGGCATGCGGGGGGCCCATGCCAGCGAGGCCCTCGTCCTTGAGGGCCCTGTGCCACTCGCGCCTGAACCTGTCCTGCGAGACGGGGAAGACGAGGTCCTTGCGGGCGCAGCCCCGCAGCAGGGCCCGCACCACGGCCGCGGTCACCGGCCACGAGAGCACCACGCCCTGGTTGGCGCCCGTCTTGACCTTCTCGCCCCTCTCACGCCTGCCCAGGGTGAAAGCAAGCTGCCCTCCTGGCCCCTCTGAGACGTCCTCGGCCCTGAGCTGGCCCCAATCCTGCTCCCTGAGCCAGCCGTCCAGCTGCGCGAGCACCGCTGAGCCCTCGATGAGCTTCCCCGTGCGGAACATCCTGCTGATGACCAGCCCGACCGCCTCCATGGGCACAGGAGCGCCTTCCCCCAACTCGCCGAGCCGAGCCCACGCCTTCAAAGCTCTCGCCGACGTGGGCAAGCGGTCCCGGTGATCCTGGGAGACGTGCATGAATCCGTTGAACAGGCTATTGCCTCGCCCGAAGCCGAGACGTCGCACGTAGCACATGTCCGAGATGTAGTCCGCCAGTGCCTGGTCCCTGGCCTCGTAGGTGGTGAAGTCCAGCTGGTTCCTCTTGACGTCCACCAGGAACTCGCGCACAGCCTTCTGGTAGACCAGGTTCGTCGCGTCATCCACCGCGTGGATGACCAGGCGGTTCGTGTAGCACAGCTTGTCATGCTGCGCCTCCTCCCACGCCCGCGCCCCCTTCTTGGCCAGGGGCGGCTGCGCGCTTGCTCCTCGTGGCCTGGCAGCCCTTGGACTCGGACTGTCCTGGCAGCCCACGGCACCTCCTCTCGACGCCAGCGTACCCACAACTACAAGTGCACTGACCCAGCGGCTGAGCCTTGAGGGCCTCGATGCTGATGCAACAGCCGCTGCAGTCTCCGAGGCACCCCTCGGGCAACGTGCAGCTTGACCGTCTCCTCCGCCGCGCCGATGGGCAGCCCCCTCGAGGGCCCGTCCGCCAGGTTCAGCTCCGACGGGACCCAGCGGTAGTAGCCCCTGATCCTGCACACCATCTGGATGATCCCCGCGATGCGGCACAGGTGGAGGATGTCCTTCGCCGAGGAGCGCCCCTTCTGCAACGCCCCCAGCGACACGAGCGAGTCCGTGAAGATCAGGATTCTGTGCCCCCACGCCTGCGAGGTCCTGCTCAGATGCCTCAGCGTGGCCACCACCGTCCGCAGCTCCAGGATGTTGTTGTGCTCCTGGTGCCCCCACCTCCCGCAGAAGAGGACGTGCCAGTGGTGCTCCAGCCACCCAGGCCTGAGGGGCATGGTCGTCCCCGTTGCCTTGGCAATCTGGGTCCTGCCTCCTCGCAGTCTCAGACGGGCTCCCACTGGCATCGTTTCCCACGCGGGCTCGAGCTCCCTCATGACCTCGGCGTAGCACCTGCAGAGCTCGAGTGGGTACGCGCATGCCAGCTGTGTCCACCTGAGCCCGCACGGCGACTTGCCCCTCAGCTCTTGATGAGGCCCCCGCGTGCGGCTGCAGCAGCGGAAAGTGCCTGTGCACTTCCTCGCCAGCCTCGTCATCTCCCTCACGCTCGTGACAAACGCGGTGGGCTTCTTCCAGACCTCGCCAAACATGCAGTAGTCCAGCTCCACCCTCCAGACGTCTGCCTTTCCCAACACCTCCACCAGCGGCGGAAAAGCCCAGATGTAACTCCCCGAGGGATTCTCCAAGGTGAAGGGGATCGCCAGCGTCACACAGACCTTCAACACTTCCACCGCCACGATACACAGCAGGTTGCCCTCCTCGAGCTTGGTCTGACTTTGCCCGTCCAAAGTGGGCAGCCCCCAGATGTGTTCGGCTGACCTCAAGGGCGGCACCCGAGCTTTCGAGAAGGTGGCGCAGGGCGGCGCCAGGTGAACCCACCAGTACCACCCCTGCCGCAGCCTCCTCAGCAGCAGCTCCAGGTTCTCGCACACCAGCACGTCGTACTCGGCCCCCTCCGAGATGTCCCACGCCTCCCCCCAGGAGTTCGTGAGGTCCTTGACGGCATCCAGCAACCTCGACGATCCCGAGAACAACTCCAGCACCCCCGGGCGACCAGCCTGGGGTCGGGCCGGCAAGTCCTCCTCGTCGCCCTCGGCCTCCACCGCCCTCTCCACCTCGGTGTGCAAATCCTCCACCATGGGGCCCCAGACACCTTCCGTCCCCCGTGCCGCTTCCGCTCTCGCCTCCTCGGGATCGCAGTCGCAGGCCAGGGCTCCGTATCCGCTCTCCGAGGCGTCCGTCATGTACGCGCGTGGCCACCAGGGGGCCTCCAGGTCCGCCTCCATGTAGATCGAGAGGCTGACCAGGGCCGCGAGCTCGCTCTTGACGATCTCGGGCAGCCTCCTGTGCACGACCGCCTCCTCCAGCTCCCAGCTCCGAACCCATCTGTAGGTTTCGTCCAAAATAGCAAACGCGGGCCTGAACACCATCATGGTCCACGTCCAATGGCCCACCAGACTCGACAAGACTGCTGGCTGAGCAGCGTCCTCCGTCAGTAACGCCTCTGTCGCCAAGACCAGCTCCGCCAACTTCTTCGTCTGGACCCTCAGGACATAGGGTCTGGCCGTAGGTATCGTGAGTCCCAGCCCTGCGCTGAGCCCTTCTCCCCAGTCCTCCTTGTGGATGGCGAGGCCCTTGCTGTTCAGGAGCGCCTTTACCTCCTCTTTGTCCTTCACGATGTCCTCCTCCTCGCCTGGGCCCTTCAAAGTAAAACCTATGTAGTCGTCGATGTAGAGCATCAGGATGAGCGTCGCCGCCACCTCCTCGGCCGTCCCGTCCTCCACCGCCTCGGTCACGCTTGGGGGAAGATCCCCCTGCTGCAACGAAGGTCGAGTGGTTGACGTCGGGCTCCGAAAGCTTGGGGTCGGCTTCCCGTAGGTAATACTCGGTGCCCGCAATGACTCGAAGCTCGCTTCCAGACAAGTATGGGCCAAGAAGACCGCCCAGGCCGAGCCCATCACCAGGCTCGCTGCTCCAAGACCGATCTCCGTATCCAAAGGCACCCTGAAGCTCAGGCCCTTCTCCTGACCGTACTGGTACAGCTCCTGCGGCGACACACCCTCCACGACAAAGAACTCCGCCAGTTCCGAGCCCCAGTGCAGTCGATAAAACCAATCCGGTACGTCGCCCTGGAAGGAGAAGAGCCGCCGCCCATGCAGTATGACCTCGTCCAACTCCAGCAGGGCCAGCCCTGCGGGACTCCCAAGCGGCACCCACGGAGGCTCGTGAAAAAGAACGTTGACCTTGCGGCAGTCCCAGATCAAGCGGCTCTTGAGCACTACCCCTGAGTCGGGGTCGACATCCTTGGCCACCGTGAACAGACCGACCTTCTCCCTCACCTCCTTCACGTAGTCGAGCATCCCCGCCTGGTACATGCGCGCGAGGAGCTCCAGCTTCTCGGTCCTGCTTCTCAGCGCCGGGTCCGAGTAGCTCCTCGTCCTCTCGTATCGCTCCCAGTCCACCTCGCCAGGGCTCTTGATCATCAGCCTCTGGCACAAGTCGATATAGCTCCCTGCACAAGCCGAGAGGTCCTGGACACGAAGAGGCGCCGTACCCGGGGTGGGTAGGGAGACTTGGCCTGCTCGGAGGGGGCACAGATCCCCCTTCTTGTACCTCGTCACCCTCTTCTTCTCCATCTCCATCTTTCTTACCGTTGTGAAGTAGCCGCTGCCCGTCGTCTCCTCGAGGCGGCCAAGAGCCACCCTGCCGTCGCTGATGGTGCCCCAGCCCGCCCGCACGGCGTGCCGGTCCCAGATGTCGCTCACGATCCTCTTCTGGAGCGGGCTGCTCGCTGTCCACTTCTCCTTCGCCACCTCCTCCGTCTTCAGCGGGGATGGAGTGAGCCAGCCACTCGCACAGCCCGAAGCCATACTCCTGATCGCCGAAACCGTCCTCCCCACCCGCCTCCACGTAACACGCAGGCTGACAGAACTCAAACCCGCACTTGATCTCCTCGTACTCAGTGGAAAGGGGAGGTCGGGGAGGGATCTCAGCGGATCGCGCTCTCGAGGATCCATTCACAACGCCTGGGAAAGCTCCCACCTGGTGTCCTGCACCACGACGCACTGGTTGACTTGCCTGCGGCAGTGGAGCCTCGAGCAGGTCGAAGATGACCTCCTCAGACTCGAAAATCGCCTGGGCGGAGGGGCCCTCCCAGACACGCTCGATGAACACCCAGCCCAGCAGGCACCCGAAGAACCCGACCAGAATGACGACGGGAGGTGGGCAGCGATGGATTGCCGACCCCTCCAAGCAGCGTGGTGAGGTGCCTGTAGCACGCTCTTGGCCAGTGGTTGCCACGATCGCACCGGCCGCAACCTATTCGCCGTCAGCGCCGCCTGCCCCCCCGCCACCTGCGTTCAGGTGCTTGTTGAGGGTCGCGCGGCGCCTCAGCTTCTCCAGGACCTCCTCATCGGCCTTCAGGTTCTCGCTGTCCCGATCCCCGTCCAGCCTCAAGTACTCCTCCGCCAGACTCCAGTCGACCTTGGACTTCCACTTCCCCCCGTTCTGCTGCTTGGGCCTCTGCCAGTCGGCCCTGCACTGGACCCGCTCGTAGGCCTTCCAGATCGAGTAGAGCCTCAGGCAGGTCAGCTCAGATGCCTGGCTATTGATCAGCGCGTCATGCTCCCCCGAGCTCATCATACGGTCCAGCACCATGGCCAGCATGTTCACCTCGTTCGCCACCGTCGCGCCCTGCAGCTCCTTGCTGCGAAGCCACTCCTGCGTCTCGACGCGGGCCGTCCGACCTCCACGGTAGAGCTTCGCCAGCACCGTCGGCGCGACCCGAGTCCGGACCCCGCCGACCTGACCGCCCACCGCGGGCCGGCACTGCTGCAGCACCGTCAACAGGCTGTCCTTCGGGTTGGTGGACTCCAGCTTCAGCTGCACGATCTGGTCCTTCACGGGATCGTCAAACTCGGCGCCGACCTTCCCCCACGAGCCGCTGCTCCCACTGCTGCTCACAGGGGTCGCCGAGCCCGCCGTCGCCTTCGCCGAGTCCCTGGCCACGACGCCCTCGTGCTCGTTCAGCTTCCGAATGAAGGCGTCGATGTCGCCCCCGCTCGGCTCCGACCCGCCAGGCGTCCGAGCCCCCTCTGGGGACTCCTCTCGGCGCGTGGCCTGGCGAGCGGGCGCCTGAGCAGGGGGCGGCGCCGGCAACCTGGCCTCGGCCTCCACCCGCATCCGGTCCTTCAGGTCGACCACCGCTGAGGCCAGCTCCGCCTGGCCCCTCGCCAGCTCCGAGAACAAGGCCTTCGCATCGGGCTCCTCGTCGCTGTCGGTCATGTCCCGTCCCCCGATGATGGCCGTCCCGTCGTCACTGTCGCTCTCGCTGTCCGAGCTGTCACCTCGGCCCTCGGCGCTGTAGGTGGAGTACATCCAGATCATGTACCCTGCCACCGCGACACCACCGATCGTGCAGGCGATCTTCTCCAGATCCCCGTTCTCGTACATGTCGCTGACCAGCTCCATCACGGACTGTAGGTCCTCGAACGCCTGGAAACCTGCCTTCATGGTGTGGTACCCGCTGCTCATCCACGACCCAAGCTCTAGGTACCGCCACACGCGCCAGCCCAGGAAGGCCGCAGAGCCCCACGCACCTGCGGTGCGGTAGCTCCAGCCGGCCACGGCAGCCGTGCTCACTCCCTTGAACATCCAGCTAGCCATCGCCGTCTTGGAGCTCGATTTCTTCTTCTTCTGACCCTGCTTCACCTTCTCCGTGCGTGCCTCGGCCTCCTTCAGCTCCGACCGTGCTATGAGACGCTCCGAGGCGATCAGCGCGGCGTCCCTCTGCTTCTCGGTGAGCCCAGGATGCTCCGTCCACACGACCCCTTGCTTGGGCTTGCTCAGCGCGAACTTCTTGTCCCGCACATTCACCAGCACCACCCGTTGCGTCGGGTCCACCGCCGTCCAGACGGTGGACTTGGCCCCTCCGACCTTGGTGATCAGCAGGAGCACCACCCCCGTCGGCTTCGACTGCGACAGCAGGTACAGGCGGTTCCACCGCGACCAGGGCGCCATATAGCTAGGCCGACTGCCCTTGAACAGCTCCTCCTCGTCTCCCCGCCCCGCGGGCCCTGCGAAGAGCGGCTCGCTGTCGCTCTCCCCCTCCTCAGCGCTGGCCTCCCACAGGCCTGGCAGGAGCGCCTCCCACTCGCTGGCCAAGATCGCCAGCGCCAGGGCCCAGCCGACAGGCCCAGCACGCGCCGTGGCGACGCCAGGCCACGCGGCGCAACGCGCCCGCGGCAGGGGGCGGCGACCGCCACCCAGGGGGGCCCACGCCCGTGTCGCCGCCGACCACGGCGGGCACGGGCCAGCGGCCGCGCTCCAGGGCCCAGCGGGGCCCCGATCGCCCGCGAGCGCGCGGGCGCCTCGAACACCTGAAAGGCTGGTGTGCTCGTAGGCTCGAGAAATGGCGGGGCTCCCCGCCTCTCAAACCTCTCGAGCCGAAACTGCAGCCAAACAATGGTAATGAAATGCAACGAAGGGATGCAGTGTAGGCGGCTAGGTACATTGACGATGCTACTGTAAAAGTGTGTTTGTAAAACGCGTACGACGTCGGGGGTCGGAGTCTGGGTCCCACGCCTTCGCGGTCTGGCTTCCGGGGCGCGGTCCCGCGGATGCGCGGACGCAGGGAGGTGCTCCGCGCAGGGCAGCCGCGCAAGAGGGCCCCGCATCCACGGGGTCGCGGCTCGGGGGCCCGGCCAGCGAGGCCGTGGACGACGCTCCTCGGTCCTCCTCCTCCTCCTTCTCCTTCTTCTCCTCCTCCTCCTCCTCCTCCTCCTTCTCCTCCTCCTCCTCCTCCTCGTCCTCCTCCTCCCTCTACTCCTCCTTCCCCTCCTCTCACCCTCCTCCTTCTCCTCCTCCTCCTCCTCCTCTTCCTCCTCCTCTTCCTCCTCCTCCTCCTCCTCCTCCTCCTCCTCCTCTTATGTTCTTCGCCCACGCTCCTCAGCTCCCTCGGCACGGTCTCCGAGTCTACGCCCATCTCCTCACACGCAATGAAGCACTGGAGGCTCGTGTCGATGGCGAGGTGGAAGACATTCATGTAGAGCTTTCCCACAACGTAGCCGTTGAGGAGAAAGAGCAGCGTGGGACACAGTGGAGACACTTCGGGATGCAGCGTGGTCTGAATAAGGTACCCCGCGAAGGTTGTTGCAGCAGTGATGCAGAGCAGCCCAATGCGGTCAATCGCGGTGCCCAAGAGAAGTAGCACCGCGAAGCGCACCATGTGGCGGAGGACCAGATAAAAAGCCTGCTTCGCAGATGTGCAGAAGTTCTTGCCGAGTAGCGCAATCTGGATGTATGCGAGCTTGTTAAGGTACTCTAAGCTCTTCTCGAAACAGTACAGGCAGCACTGCATCGCCTTCGCGACACACACCATGACGCGATTCTTCCTCACACGAGCCTGTTTCTCCAGGAACTTCATGCAGTATCGGATGAACTGCACCAGGGCGATAATGAAGGAACCAAACGCAAGGCTGCCCATGTGATAGCGAGTGGTATTCCAGATCGAAGTCCTGAGGGCACCTCGAACCCGTCCGATCCAGCTTCTTCGAGTCTTGTGCTGGTTGAAGAACCAGACGCCAACAGTACCAGCGATGATACACTGGCCAGCTGCGATGACGAAAGCGTTCAGCCACAGGTAGATGAAAAACACGTAGGCGACGTAGTAGTCGAGCATATACCGGGGCGGCTGGCAGCGCCAGCACTCACCGCTCGGGCCTGCGCAGGTCTCGTCCCTCCACACTTCGCTGACGGGGTACCTTGGCGGCGCGCATAAGGGGGTAGGGGGAGGGGGAAGGCTTCGTAGAAGGAGGCTGCCTCTTAGAAGGCGCCGGCCCTGTATCTATAGAGAAGGCCCGCGCCTTCTAAGAAGCAGGGGTGCTTCTAAGAAGCCTCCCCCCCTGCCCATAAACCCCCTCTGCGCGTGACTGAATACCCGAGATCTCCAGACCCGTCGTAGGTGCATGCCTCCCACGCCGTGCCGTAGTCCGCGTACCAGCCAGTGGGCGTGTAGCCATCGGGCACCTGAGCGGTGATCAAAAACAAGTCTGACGCGAGATGGCATAGCGACCTCACGCGGTGACTGACACGGCCCGCAAGCGCAGCACGCCACATTGGAGACGGGGGCGCTTACGCGCCAATGTCGGCGCAGACGACACCGTTTTTCTTGCGCAGCTCACCTGAGAGATGAGGAACGCCGCGCCGACGGCCCAGCCGATGCACCACAGGATCGTGAAGATAGACTGAACGGCCGGCACGAGCAAGACGGTTGGTGTCGTGGCGAGGAAGCGGGCGGCCACCTTCACGCAGCGGATCGCCAGGAGGATCTTCGGCAAGAAGCAGATCACGACCAGGACCCAGAGCACAGCCAGGCCGAGGAGCGCGTAGCAGGCGTACAGCAAGACGTCCCTCGCGGTCTGTCCGCTCACAGCGTAGCCCTCCTCGCACTCGGGCGCGTCCAGGCCGATGGGAAGGCACTCCTGCCACCGCAGCTCCTCGTCCACGGTGAAGCACCAGATCGTGGAGCCCTTGTTGACGTCCGACGCGTTGTAGGGGTTGCGGCAGTAGTTGTGATCTCCGATCCCCTGATCCTCTGAGGGGCAACGACATGGGGGGACTGGCGTAGGGGGGGGAACATCGACCTGGAATCGACGATACATCGCAGATTGCTCAGAGATGGGCCCCCGATAGCGAATCCGCACGCTCCTGGGCGGGGTTGTTGGGCTGTCGGGCCCCTATCGGCGATCCATGGGCGACTGGGGGACGATGCGTCCCCGAAGATGCATACCCTTTCTATGGTCGCCCGCGGTCCTCGTAGTTCCCAGACAGATAGTAGTCATGGATGTGGGGGGACGTCGTGGCCCAGTTCTGGCAAGCGGTGCCATAGCGCGTGAGGTACTGCACCCCGCGGTAGGCGTTGCCGTCGCCCAGGAGGTCCTCGCTGACCAGCTTGCCCGAGGCCACCTGGGAGACGCTGGCCGCGGCGAACGTGACCACCTGAGCGACGGCACCAAACAAGGGGAACGAAGAGTGACATAGCGCGAGGGGCGCGGGGGCGCGCGGAGGCGCCGCCAAGGGCGGCGCCAGAGGCGCCGCCAGGGGGGTCCAGCGCGGATCCCCGAGCAATCCGCGCGGACCTCCGAGCTGTGATGCTTTTATGCCATTCGTCGTTCCTCCGTGAGCGGATCTTGCGCGAGACGGCACGGCGACACTGCGCCGCAGCTTGCGCGGGCCGCCAGCGCGGCACGCTGCCTTGGAGACGAGGGCACTCCGCGCGAGCTCACGCGGGCAGCGTATACGCGCCAACGTGGGCGAAGACGGGCCCAGTTTCCTGCGCCGCTCACCTGGGTGGCCGTCTCCTGGCCCTTCTCGAGCAGCGTGTAGCCGGCGCACTGGATGCTCTTGATGTAGCAGAGGCCAGAGAAGGCGCAGATCAGGAGGAAGATCCCGATGATGGAGATCCACACGCAGATGCCGACAAAAAACCGGACGAAGACGAGAAAGAGCATGCCGATAACGAAGGAGGCCACGCCAGTCAGGGCGAACGCCATCCAGGAGGCCTGGATGGCGCCCCACTGCTCGCCCAGGGACTGAGTTGCACCGTTCGAGAAGTCGGTGAGAGCCTCGCTCGCCATGACATCTGCCACCGAGCTTCCAAGCTGGCTAACCACTTCAACGGCTATCTCGAGCGTGCAATAGTTCAGCGCGGATTCCTTGAAGGCGATGCCCGGCATGGGGACACAATACACAGAATCGTACGGGCAATCCACCTGGGAGAATGCTTTGAACGTGAAAGAATTATTGAGGACAGATCCCAAGCTGCCCGGTTCTAGTTTCACAACGTCCCACGCCTCCTTGAGAGCATCGCTCGGGACAGGACTGTATATGTACTCCCGGAAGGCATACGCGCTGGTGCTGCCGTTGGCTGCTTGGATTTTTCCATAGCTTGTGTCACAAGACGTCATGCAGACACTATGGAGGTAATGCGAGGCCGAACTCATGACGCCCGTTGAGAAGAGGTCTCCGTTTTCTCCAGACGAGCTGAACAAATTGAACACGTCTGTAGAACCGAGTCCTGCGATCTCCGTCATCCGAGCAGCTGTCAGTGACACGAGCGCACTGGTACCAGCCGCCGACCCATCCGCCGAGGGGTCTGCCTGTTTAAGGGCCGTGCTACAAGTAGAGCACGGAGTGTAGCAACAAGCGCACATATACGCGTCCATGTCGCTTGCCGTCCATTCGCCTATCCCGATCTGGAGTTCCAGGTAGTTCTGGACGGCCTTGGAGCACATAAACTGCTTCATCATCGCATCGGTGGTTGCAGACACGTTCATCGTCATGGTCGAATACTCGTAACCTTCCAAAGAACCCCTGCTCGTCGGCCCATTGTCCCACTGGCTCTCGATGCCACAGTAGTTCCCGGCGGAGTCCCGCGGCTTGTAGAGCCGGTCCACGTTGCCGCCGATCAGGCCGCGCAGGGTCACGAGCACGTAGCCGAGAAGCGCCACGACCAAGACGACGCAGCACGGGAGGTCCGTGCAGCGCCGGCCGCCCGCGGGGCCCGCCGAGATGTCGTTCGCGCCGCCCCGCGTGAAGGCCTGGCGGCTCTTCTCGGCCTTCAGGGCCCGGAGGTCCGCCTGCATGGCGCCCCCGCGGCGCGGGCCTGGGCGCGCCCGGTGGGGGGCGCCGCGGCCCCTCCTGAGGAGCCCAGAGGGGGGGGGGTCCCTGCGCCCCCTCCAGGCGCAGACGTCCGCTGAGGGGCCAAGTCGCCACCACCACTGCCACGGGCAGGACGGAGGAGACGGGAGGATTGGGAGGTCCTCCTCCTCCTCCTCCTCCTCCTCCTCCTCCTCCTCCTCCTCCTCCTCCTCCTCCATTCTTTTTCCTTATCGACAAGTTCTCCCTGTCGCACCCCGAGGCCAGTTTTTAGGGCGGGCCGGGCGTTTCGCCTGAGACTTCCATGTCTGAAGATTAAGAATTGGCAACCGTTCCACAAATGGAGGGCGGGTCGTTTTCAAAATGTGGCTCTCGCCTCAGCGCGTCGTACAGTCGTAAAGTTCGCACGAGTTTCACGGATTGAGGGCGGTTGGGTTTCAACATGTGGCTCTCGCCGTAGCCCGGCGCACAATCGTTTCACGGGTTGAGGGCGGATGGTTTTCAAAATGTGGCTCACCTTAGCGCCGCGCACATTCGTGTATACTATTTGAAGAATTTCATGGATTCCCATCATCAACGTGCCAGAAATTGCGTCTTGGAAGGATTCAGGACCATGCGGGTGCAACAGTTACGTTGATTCTCTGTGCTGAAGTCCTGGGAATGGCGTTCTGGCGCGATTCAGGATCGTCAAGACGCAACAATCAAGTTGACCCGTGGCGTTGGAATCCCGAGAACAACGTTTTGGCATGCTTCAGGGTCTTCAAACGGGTGTCTTCCAACGAGGCAGTTCCATCTATGGAAATGAACCGTTGTAAGGGCCTTTGAAGAGAAGGGGGAGCTCGGAGGGACGGTTTACTCCAACCTCGTTGATGACTCTTGTGTTTGTACTGGTCCTCCTCCTCCTCCTCCTCCTCCTCCTCCTCCTCCTCCTCCTCCTCCTCCTCCTCCCTCTCCTACAGATGGTCGTGGTGGTGGAAATGGGCCCATCAGTTCGCCTACGCGCACGAGCGACCCTGGGAAAGGGTGACCTTTTGTGCGTTGCTTCCAGGGCCGCGGGGGGAGGGGGGAAATGCAGGCGCGCAGGCCAGAGCTGAGGGGCTCCCGTGGGGCCCCTCTGGGCCCGCACTGCAGTTGGACGCTCGGCAGGGGTTCGGAAACAAGGGGCGCGAGGCCCCGAAACAGAAGCTGTCCCAAACCGACAACGGCCGCTGTTGGGCGGTCGGCCTTCCGTCTCAAACGGACAACGTGTGGCTCAAATTGAACAAAGGATTCTGCCGCTTTTTGTGCCCATTCTCTCCCAGAGTGCGTTCTGACCAGGAACTCCGTGGCGAATCCAGCGGTGGCGACGAGGGCCTCCCAGGAGGCCCAGACAGGAGGAAAACGAAGCAAGGGCAGCGGTATGGGTACGTACCTCCCCAGACATGCGACGTCGTATTTTTTCAGTGCGGGGTCCCTGGAAATCCCGGCCCTTCCCCCGGGACCGGCTTCTGGTCCCGAGGCCCGGCGAGGAGCCCCCCCAGGGCCCGAACACGGCCCGAGACCTCCCGTCCTGAATTTTCTTTACGGCGCGACCATGTCTGGGTCTTCCCCCTCCGACGTTCTCTCCGTGCCCGTCCCGCTCGGCCCGCACCGAGGGCCACTCCGGCGAAGGGCCACCCTGCCGCGCAGCCGAGGACGCTCCCGGAGCCGCCCGCGGCGAACAGAGCGCCCGGCGAGGCGCCCGGCCCGGCTCGAGCTCCTGCCGCACTTGAGCATTAGGTCGGGTCCGTCCCCCTACAGGGGGATTTTCGACGACAAAATAAGCAATCAAAAATCCGCCAGCCCCCTTGCGGGGCCATCAGGCTGCGAGGATGAAGGTTGCTGCTCCCCGCGCCAGTTCCAGCTTCCAGTTTGTTACAGTACTGCTTTCTGCTTCCTACTGTAAATTGTTACTGTCCGCGCGGGGAGGGGGAGCCGAAAAGGGCCCTGGTTAGCGTCCCCCGGGAGGGTTCTCAGAATTTCTAAGGGGGGGGCGTGGGACACGTAAAAATACGGGAGTTATGTGCCCCCCAAGCCATAATCCCACGCGAATTACCGTGTATTCGCGCCCCCGAGGCCACGATCCCTCGTAAATTACGCCACGGTCGCGTCTCCGAAACCACGATCCCTCGAAATTTACACCACACTTGCGTCTCCGAGGCAACGATCCATCGTAAATTACTCTGCGCTCGCGCCCTCGAGGCCACGATCCCTAATAATTTACGCCGCAGTCGCGCCCCCGAAGCCACGATTCCTAAAAATTTACATGATTTTCGCGCCCGCGAGGCCACGATCCCTTGTAAATTACGACGAATTCGCGCCCCTGACGCCACGGTCCTTCGTAAAATACGCAGCGGGCGCGCCCCGGAGGCCACGAATCCGCCTTGCGGAGGCTGCCGCAAAGGCGCTCCCCCTCTCCAAAGCAGACAAACGCTAATTTTCTGTACTGGGATATGTGTTCCGCTGGTATTCTTTTGCCCCTCCCCGTTTGTGAAAAATTTGGCGGTGGGTTCCACATTCACCCCCCCAGGCCACGATCCCTCGTAAGTTACGCCGCATTTGCGCCCCCGAGGCCACGATCCCGCGCGAATTACGCCACATTCGCGCCCCCGAGGCAATGATCCCTCGTAAATTACGCCGCTGTCGCGCCCCCCAGGCCACGACCCATCGAAAAATTATGCAACATTCGCATCCCCGAAGCGACGATCCCAAGCAAATTAAACCAAATGCGCGCGCACCCCCCACGCTACGAATCCACCTCGCGGAAGCTGCCCAAAGGCGCCACTGCTTCTCCAGAGCAGAAAAATAACCTTCCCAGAGATTGCCTGAAGCAATCCCCAGCCGTTCCCAGAGCGCTTCCAGTGAACAACTGATGGACAATGCCAAGAAGGCAACAAAGCGTTCAACAACAACTTCAACATCTCAATCTGTTCTGCTCATCGCCAGCCGCCCTAGAATGACGTTCCCGAATGTCATCAAGACGGCGCCCGAACATCCCAATATAGCTCTGATGTGTCCCATCATGATAGAGAGGGGGCCGGCGGCAGGGGGCGAAACCCTTACGGATACTCAGAACATATTCAACATATGCCCAACAATAACCAAAAATAGCCCCCAGACTATTTTTTAAACTATGTTTAAACATTCCCCCTTCTAGAGGGACATGTCGAGGGACATTCCCGCTGCTACCGCTTCTCTTTCGGCCAGCCCATCTGTGCCCGCAGCAAAGGTCACTCCGGCGAAAGGTCACTCTTACGCCTACAGTCAAAACGTAGATTAAGGACGCGTGGTAAGGACGCAAGACCCTTGGAGGCTGAACTTGGGATTTTTTGGGGCGGCGGCGACCAGTGAAAACGGCAAAGGACGGGCCACAGAGGCAAGGACGCAAGGGTATCCTGGATGAAGGCGCGCGTCCTTACTAGGCGCGTTGACTGTAGTCGAACTTCAGCATCAGGACGGGAACGTCGCCACCGTCACCCCCATTCCGCGCAGCCGCGGGCGCTTCCGGAGCCGCCCGCGGCGACCAGAGCCACCCCGGCGCGGCGCGGCCCTCCGACCCTGCGGGCGGCCACTCCCTCGAGGGAGCGCCCCGACGGGCGCGGTCAGCGCCGGCAGAGGGCGGCGCGAGCCAGCGACTGCCCAGACACGATCGCGTCGTAAAAGAAGTCAGGACGGGGGGGTTGGAGGCCTTTTCGGCTTCGGGGGGCCCTCGCCGGGCCTCGGGGCCGTCAAAACACGACTCTAGATGAAAAACCGGTCCCGGGGAAAGGGTCGGGACTTCCAGGGACCCCGCACTGAAAAAAATTTGACGTCGCATGTCTGGATACGGATAAACACAGAAGAAGCAAAAGCGCCTCGCCGGGCACTCTCTTCGCCTCGAGCGGCTCTGGAAATGTCCTCGGCTGCCCGGACGGGTGGCCCTTCGCTGGAGTAGCCCTCAGTGCGGGCCGAGCGGGACAGGCACGGAGAGAATGTCGGAGGAGAAAGAGGTACGTACCCATACCGCTGCCCTTGCCTCGTTTTCCCCCTTTTTCTGGGCCTCCTGGGAGGCCCTCGTCGCCACCGCTGGATTCGCCTCGGAATTCCTTGTCAGAACGCAACCCGCGAAAGGTCTGGGGAGTAGCCGAGTCGGTACTTTTTGGTCTCTCGAGAAACAACGATGGGATGCACAAGCGTAATGTTCGGTGGCAGCTTATGGGAGCCTACCATACCATCTTGATGGCTCTTGCGAGTCGACGCTAATCGGTCGACGCTAGCCGACACCACCTAGCCCCAGATCGATGCTACATCGAGGCGAAGTCGGCGCTCTCGCATCGACTACCAGACGCTAGCATAGTGCACCCTGAAGACGGAGCTACGAGGACACACACCTACACACATGGGTCCCATGATCTGGCCATCGCTCGGACGTCCATGTCTTGTGTTTTTTTCGGTTTCGTGCGTGGTGTTCTCGCCAAATCATCACGGATGCTCCTCGATGGTCCTCGCCGACGGAAAAATGCACACGTCCGAGCGATGCCAAGTGATTTGCTAGCGGAAAATCGCAAGCATGCGCCCCAACTGGTCCGCCTCGGTAGACAGATGCGATACGAGATCCTGACCAAGACACCTTGGGGGGCGCACTCGTCGGCGACGTTTGACGGCCCCCTGGGTGCCCCAGAGGGCCCAGAGCCTTTGTGGGTCCCCGGGCCCTCGGATGATACGACATTTCTGCAGGGCACCCGGTGCTATGCCCGTTGCATATTTGAGCGACGATCAAACTACTAGTCTTACGCGACTTGGCACAGCGACATTACGCGGTGGTTTACGTGGGCCGCCGGCGCGGCACGCCACATTGAAGACAAGGGTTCTCACGCGCGACCTCACGCGGGGAACCGACGCGCAAACGTCGGCGCAGACGGACCCGACCTGTTTCGTCGCCCACCTGATGTGCCTGCCGCATCGTCCTGCCATCGCTCGGACGTCCATT